GGTAAGAGCGAATTCCGAGGTTAGAATTCCTTTTATTAGAGGGGAAGAATGTAATACCCCTAATTTTAAAAGGATGGTCCTGGTATTTTAATTAATTATTTAATTGCATTTTTAAGATTTCTATTGTTTTATTTGTTTGTTACTTGAATTAATTAGAGTTTTAATTATATTTGTTTGTTAATTATTTGTTTTATTGTTAATTATTTGTTTTAAATTGAATTAAGTTAGGAGAATTAATTAATTAATTAGAGTTAGGATTTCTTTCTGCTTGTAATTAAATCGTGTCTAGGATTTGAGCCGACACATATAGTTGGTTTAGGATTTAATTTAGTATTTCCAATAAAGCCTATAAATACCTAAGTATACGTCTGCCAAGGGTTTGTTAACCCTATTCACGTAACAGAGAGAAAACATAGTGAGCAATAGAGAAATAATTGGAGAGAAATAGATAGTGAACCTTGAGAGGTTTACAGAGAGGTTCAAGGGGGAAGGGGTGGAGTGCTTCTGGGTTGAACCAAGAACACTGGAGATGTTTAACAGCAGCCTATGACTTTAACGAAAACTCATAGACGGAGGTTTAAGATTTCTGGAATGAAATCTAAGGCAAGTCTTTGTTCTATTCTTTCCCTTTAATCTGTGTTATGTGCATGCATATCTAGACTCCAGGGGTTTAACTAATGATAAAACGAAGCAATCATGCATGCTTAACAGACTAAAACTGAGAGTTTTATGGTTAAATATACTTGTGCGTGATTTCATTATTTTTTTAGATCTTTATGTATGATTTGTGATTTAACTTGAATCTTTGCCTACTAAAACACTTAAAATAATTTAGTATGGACGTATGGGACTTAGGTTGAAGCTTAGGGGCCTTAACAATGAAGTTTTAGGGTTTACAAAGGTTGAACGGACGAAGAAAAAGACCTTAGCATTAACTGAGGCGCCTAAGTTAGCAACAAAGGTGCCTAAGTTAGCAATTCAGCCCCCTAAGTTAGCAACTGAGGCGCCTAAGTTAGCAATTCAGCCCCCTAAGTTAGCAACTGAGGCTGCTCAGTTGTAACTTAGCTTTCTCACTTGGGATTTTTAGTTTTAAACGCCCAATTTGGATTTTGTGCACTGTTTGGACTACATAGAGTGTTAGCACTTCATTTAAATTGTCTTAAATGATGTATATTATTGTTTTAAACTTGTAAGAATATAGGTAAACAATGATTCATAAATAGATTAAGGTATGGACAGTGTACAGTTAGGGGAAAATCCTACATGTTGAACTTTGAATGTTAATCAGCTTACACTTTGGAACTTGGAGGATTGTTTATATGTGATTTAATTTTAATTAATCATATTTGGATAGGATTGTAGGTAACATGGATTACTTGAACTTAACCATGCTTGTGTTGGATCAAATTAATATTCACTTTGTTATTCAACTGCATCAGTGTATGGATATTTTAGAGGATGTGAACGCTTATACTTGTTTTAGTTGTATACATTATTGGAATTGGATTTTAGGCTCTATAATGACTGCCTAATATTGTTGGATATGTGTTAATTTATATTGATGCATGTTATGAAGGATGGTTGTTGGATATATATAGTGTCGTTTTATTAACTATGTTATCTGGAGGATTGTATGCACGGGTATGGGACGGTGGCATACTAGGGACGGATTAGTTAAAAATACTAAGTCCTACCTATTTGGAAATAAGTTGGATTAACAATAAAAGTTAAGTCCTACTTATGTATGTGTATATGCACCGGTATGGGACGGGGGCATATTAGGGACGGCTTAGTTCAAAACACTAAGACCTACCTATTCTAGAGACGGATTAGTTCAAACACTAAGTCCTACCTAATCTGGATTGAGGTATGGTTTAACCATAAAGGTTAAGTCCATCTCATACTTATGTCATGTCAATAAAATAATTGAATGACCTACGTTGGTTTCTGAATGGATTGAAAAATATTGAATCCTAACTGTGACTAAGTCAAATCAATTGTGACTAAGTTGAATGACTTTCTGGATTAATTAGTTATAGTTAAGTCATATCAACTGAATAAGTTGAGTGACTAACTAGTTTGTATATTGTATGTCAGCTTAGTAAATTATGGAATGACATACTCCGGATGGATGGATTTTAGATATATGGTTATGATACTACGAGATGAGCTTGAGTCTCAGACTCGTTGGTTAGGGTGCGTATATACAGTGGATGCGTAGCTGGTTATAGTAGGTTGAGGTGTACCCTGTTAGGTCTAGTATTATTTAGTATTCGTTCAGCGTTATTATTTATTTCTTTAATTCATTATTTTGTATTCCGTGTTCGTTTTAACATATTAATTGTTCGATATCCCTCAGGTTTGGGCCTGGGCCTGATCAACCCGTGTTTCAGATTCGAGGGGTATCACAATCTGACGCATCACACATAATCTCAAAAGGTAGGTTACAATCAGGTGACCAGATTATGGGTGCAGTAGTGAGTGCGGATTTTAATTGCTCAAAAACAGAGTGACAAGCATCGGTAAACTCAAATGGGGCATCCTTAGTTAGAAGATGGGTCAAAGGTCATGCTATCTTACTGAAGTTTTTGATGAAGCACTTATAGAAACTAGCATGACCTAGGAAAGCTCGAACGTCGTGGACAGTTTTGGGAATGGGTATTCCCACCTGTGACGAGGGTGACCCAGGTTTGATCCCCGGCAACGACGCCATTTGACGAGTGTAAAATTATGAATTATGTCGTTGTTTTTCTATACTTTGTGCAAAAGTAAGAAAAACCTGCAAAAACTAAATTAAAGATGGTATAGAATAAGCAAGGTCGAACCATACAAGATTTAAACCCGTGAATCAAAATTAAAACCAAAATTTAAGGAAGAATAACTTTTAAAACAATTTAATGATTTTTTTTCTTCTAATGAACTAAAAATAAAATAACTAAATAAGACAAATAAATTATGATCAAATAATAAGAAAAATCTCAACGAAAGAATCCACCACCACAGCTTACCATAAATAAATTTATATATTTTCTCTTAATGTAAATTTTCTTATTGTAAGCAAATTACTCCACCAATCCAATTACAACTTGAAAAGATGAAGGAAAATAATAATAATTGCTTGAGAACATATTTTACTTAATCGGATATATCTTTAGAAAATAGAAATAGGCATTATCCGAATTACCATTAATTGGCAAATACGAATAATCGTCTTTCTAATTTTTTTTTTATCAAAATATAAACACAGAATAGAAGAGTAAAATAATGCTATAAAGAGAAAATTTCATAAAAGAATTAAACTAAATTTATTTATATTTCAGCCATGCTGGCTTTATCACTCCTTGAGAAGGGGTGTTTAAGCTAGCATAATAAGAAAATAAAATAAAGAAATAAAAACAATCTTCATAACAAAAATTATAAGAAATAAATTGAAGACAAAAATTCTCTCTAACTTTTATTATTTTATCTCACTAACAATGTACATCAATCTCCTCTACATATGTCCCTATTTATAGAGTTTGAATAGAACGATTGGGAGGAGAAAATTCTAATTACAGAAGTGAAATAAAATCTTCCTAAAATCTTGCTACTTTCCAATTTTGTCCGATATTTGACTTGATGTGATGGAAAGTCAAATTTGAATTTGATCGTATAATCTTATAAACTTACTTTCTTTTTTTTTTTTTTCCTCTTTCTTCTTGTTCTGAAATCAGTCCTTACAAAACATGAAAAACAAGAATAAGGACATTTATCTAATAAAAAAGATTAATTAATCATTAGTATTAAGTATAAAATAACAAGTTTTGTGCACTTATCATAGTGACCTTCAGAAAATTTTACAAGACTAAAATGATGCCTGTACGTTCATAAATTTCAGACATACACGTACTTAATTCAACGGTACGAGAAGCTATAGTTGTGTTTGATTAAGTCATTTTCTTAGAATTCTTAGGCTCTGTTTGTTTGACCAAAAATATTCTTTTTGAAAAATATATATTTTTTTTAGGTAAACTATTTTTTAATTTTTATTTTGTCAGTGTTTGGGAAAGGTCTACGTCGAGGTTGAATTTGAAACCATCAGGCGGGACATGTAAAATAGCTTGTCAAAAATTTATAAATAAATTATTTTTGTTAAATTTTAATATTTTTTTTTCTTCGTAAATATTTTACGACAACTAAATACCAGAAAATATTTTACGTCAAAACAAACGGGGTCTAAATATTTTTTGAATTCTTTAATGTTGTGTTTAGTAGTATCAAATTAATGCTTTAGATTTGAGATTAGAGGAATTTTAGTACAAAGTTTGAATTAAATTTTTTTCGATCTCAAATTTAAAATATCGATTCGGTGCTCTCAAACATAACATAGACAATTTTTTTTTCTTTCCCTAATTTAATATAGGATTTGGAGAGTCACTTCAAGAAAATCTTGGTTTTCTATATAGCTATCATTTTTGTTTAAAGATGACAAGTGTTTGGATTGTCCAAAAATTCAGAATTTCAGAAACAAAGGGCAAAGAGCAGCAAGTAGTAACACAAATTTTACAAAAAAACTATGCTTCAAAAAAAATCAAAATCATTTATGAAAAGGAAAAAAGAAAAAGAAAAAGAAAAAATTCAAAACCATAATCAACCTGAAAATTGCGAAATACCATCAAGGGTAATCACCAAATTCTATTTGTTAATTTTATTATAGATCAATCAAATAATCAAATTTCAGTACACCCATCAAGAGGAAAAAAATTACGAGGCAGTAGATAAGGGTGTAAGTCTCAGGAATTAATAATGTTTTATGCAGTTTTGTTCTGAGTTGGATAAAAGGCGGACTCGGTAACAATTGTTTTGGATTTGGTGAGTGGAATCAGGGTTAAACACAGTGAAGCCAGTAACAATCAGGTGTTACAAAGGAGGATACGAAGCCAATGCACCTTATATAATAATGGGGCCTACCACCGTTGAAGACCAGATTGATGTGCCCAAAAAAAAAAAAAAAATTTGAAGGCTTGTCAGACAACCGTGCGACCATCACAGCCGTTCAAAGAAGACTGAGAACGATCCTCTACCACTGGATGTATCCTACGAATAGGATCATCGAAGCTGTCAACAATCACGCTCTGATCGCACGGTCACGATTCATCCACCAAGCTTAAGTTCCTGTCTCCTTAGAAATCAAGGATGCAGAGGTACGATCCTATAGGAAAGATCCTGTTCAAGTAAGGTCGTGCAATGAAGGGCTTGTTTGGTTCTTAATAAACCTCGTTTTTGTTTCCTCCTGTTTCGACGTGGGAACTTAGAAGTAGCAGCCTCTGGCTAGTTTCAATAAACCAACTCTGCCTATGTAAAGGACGATAATACCCTTCAAAACAGCTATTGTTATGCTCGCATTTGCCCTTTTAAGTTGGTTATTATTGGCTTTTCAGTACCTGGGTCGTTTGATTAGATCCAAGGACATGTTTAGATTTGGGCATTACAAATTTGGATAGCTTCATTAGATTATTGGTAGTATTTTTCGGGTTTCTTTACTACATTTTTTGCTATTTCATACAGTAATCAACATATTTTCATAGGAAATTGTGATTGAATTGTTTTTTGAGTTGCTATTATTATTGCCTTGAGTATCTTATGGTGAAAAGATGTTCCATTGGGCAATGCTCATAACAATAAAAAAACATCTTATTTTCGATATGAAAAATTAATTTTGAACCCAATTCCACAACCCTAAAATATGAGCCAATGGTGGAATAAATTGCCTTATCTTTTGACTAATGAAATCTATATATGTAGCTGTGCTCTTTTCGAATTTTCATAAATACAAAATTGTTAGCTAATTAAATTACTTCTGCATAAATATATTCAAAAATACTTTTGTGATAAGGATGTTCTCGTAGTTTTTTCTTGACAAAATTCAGTATACATAGAAAGTGGTGAAGCAAATTCGAAGTGAAGTGTTGCAAGAAGAGATGAATATCATGATGGTGTAGCAGGCATAAGAATCAAGAGTAGCAATGACCAGGATATCGAGAGGAAGCTTGATGCAAATGAAGAGGAAGAAGAGTAGAATGAGAGGGTGAAAGTTTACAATACCCCGGAAGTTCCCAACTGTTAGATGGGGGTAGCGGTTACAAAATACCCGTGCCAATGAAAACTCTACAATGAAATGAGTGCAATCCTTATGGTATGCTTTACTACAGAAATTGTTCGATTCAATCTCCTTGATCTAGATTTAGGGGTTGTTATCTTGAATAAGAGTGGAACTCAGTAAGGTGCTAAATTGTTCAAATCTTCAATCTTTCCTCCACCAAAGAATAAAATAATGAGCTGGAAGATTTAAGTTAACCCATGAAAGTGGGCCTAGGCCTATTGAATGATTTATGTTAGGGCATGGGAGTGGGTTTGGGCCAACTAAATAATTTAGGCCTATTGACTGAGTTTGAATTTTGATGATATATAAAAGAAAAATCTTGAATCTTGACCGATATAATGATGAACAAGTTTACAAAATTGAGATTGGTTTTTTTTTTTTTTTCCTTAACAGTTCATTTTAATATATATATATATATATAGACACACACACACACACACATATATATAAGATAAGAAGAGAGAACGTTCCTTCATTGAATATATGAAATATATATATATATATATATTCAAATAATTTATTAGTTAATTTAATTAGTTAATGATCATTTAATAGAATCTAAGAATATATTAGTTAATTATCATTAAATATATGAATTAATGTTAGATAAATTAAAATTTTATCTATTGGGCTATGGTTAAAAAATAAATAGTATTGGACAATTTAGAAATAACCCCAATCCATGGATCTGATCCGTTATTTCATGGATTCAATACGTTATCCCATGGATCGATGACAGATTAAGATTTTAGCAATTCATTGGGACTGAATCGATTAGGATTGATGCCTAATCCGATTTGTGAGCCACCCTTAGTAAAATGTAAGACATTCCACTTCGAAAATGCCACCGTGGTAGTAAAATTACCTTCGACCAGAGTCTAAACCCCTAGTAGAAAACATACTTTCTACAACAGCCATGCCCCCATTTTTATTTTAGTCGTTGAAATGAATTGGATAAGAAAATTTTTAGTTATGGAGAAACAGAGGTACAAGAAAAATAAGACACCCATGTGAGCAACCAATTTTTAATAAGGACTTTGCTGCATCCAACAAAACAATTCCTTAAGCAAACTGTTCAATGAAGCAATCATTTATACGGTGACATTTTAACTGGATAAAGCATAAATATTTGATATGGCACATTATACACACACATACATACATATCTAAGAACACGCGCGCGCACACACATATATATTGTAACTTTTATGGGTTCATCATTGCCTATTACCTATAGACGTCCGTCAATCACAACTATAGTCGCTTCCAAAGCTTGGCTGCTCCTGCATGTGGTACCCTTCAATATCAAATAATTCGATTTCAACTGGAGGAGCTCCTTGTTCTTGGGTGAAGACGATGGCGTTGACAGTAGGAAAGGATTGTAAAACCTGATAAAACCAGTACAAGAAGCGATTAAACTGATTGAAAAGTGAAGCATACCAAGGAGAGATGGCTGTGATGATAGGATACGAAATCCAAAAATGTGATGGCGGCAAAAAGATTGAGCACAGCAACCCAATTGCCACAGCTGCCGAGAAGTCTCCAGCTCGTAAACGAATGGCATCCGTAGCAACTGTAATGGTGAGTGGTAGTTTGATGGAGGTGAGGAGGAAAATCAATACAAGGATGGCAATAACAAGTAATGAGAAAGCAATGAGATGATTTTGATGAGTATTACTCAATGGACGGTCATTTCTGACGTACCAAATAGGGTTGACATAGGAGGAATGTAAGAGCAAGAAGAGGAGGTTTATCAATGGCGGGACAAGATATCTAAGCTCTATGTAGCACTGCATCTTTCTCTATCTTTAGTTTATTACTAATTTACTACACCGCATATAGACTAGTTTGGATTGCAATATATAGAAAACGTCTGTACAAAGAAAAGTGGCAAAATTTGAGACATGGCGACAAATTTTAAAAATTGACTTTAGGCAAATGTATTGCATCTGCAAATTAAGCGTGTTTTGGATGGTAGACACTAGACCCCCCGACACATCCGTTTGAGCAAAACAGTGGCAAATTTTGACGGACGAGGCAAAAGGTATGGCGTCTGCAAATTAAAGTGCTCGTTGGAAACTAGTCATTCGTATGAACCAATAAGTGGCCTCGACGTGGACATTGAGACACCACGTCACATTTTTTTTTCTTTCTCCGAAGTGGCCTCCACATGGACATTGAGACAGTGACATTAAAAAAAGTGACCACGAATTCCTTATGCCGTGTCAAAGGCGGTAAGAGAAACAGGAATTACAGAATCTATCTATGGTATTATCGAATGACAACAGTATGAGAAACAGCAGTTAAGGATCTAGCTATAGAATGACAAAAAATTCAACAATCACACAGATAATGATTGTTGGATGCATAATTGAAATTTGGCGTCAATTTAGGTTTTCTATAAAATTATTATTATTATTATTTTTTTTTTTTCAAAACATACAAATTTAAGAAATTTCGCAACATTAAAGTAATATTATAATGATAGAAATGAAACTTAATAACTTTAAAAAATATATATATATATATATAGCTTTTCTGTAAAACAATTTTCATTTTAGGTTTTCCCACCATTAGAATGAAACAGAGTATTATAATAATGAAAATGCCTTAATTTAAATTACAAAAATTAATGTTTTCTTTAAAATTATATTTATTTTAAAATGTCTTTTTATTTCAAAATCTTCGTAAGGTATTTTCATTTTCTTATAAACGTATCTTTATTATATATATATAGACATACAAACATAATCCATTTATTATTATTATTATATTTTTTTTTTGGAAATAATTTTTAACAACTATATTGAATGAGTTATTTGTATTAAAAATAAGAGTTAATGACAATGACACCCCCTGAAATTTATTTTATTGACAGTCATATACAAGTTAGCCCACTTTTGAACAATGACACCCCCTCAGCTTTGCTGCCTTTGACAAAGACATCCTTTGAGGGTCTGACACGTGGTAAAATGACATAAGTGCCTTTTGACTTATGAAATGACACTTTTGAATAACGAAATTACTAAATTACCCATTCTAATAAATTTGAAATGTCCAAAATAACCTCTCTCGCATCTCTCTATATACAAATATGATCAATATATACATAACTTGATATATATATATAATCACTTTGCGCGATTTGTGTCTCTGCCAATGTGGAGATATAGTATATATATATAAGTTACAGACCATATATATATATATATATCGACTCACATATATTGATCTGTCAAGCGAGATTTTAGATCGCACAAAGGAATCAAATGAATCTGATTCAATTAATTCCGGTGACACCACCACCTCCGTCGTAACCTCCGACCACGGTCTCATGATCGATGCAAATGGATCAGGATTGATCTGTGGGTTGCTCCTCTATTTGTTTTTGCACAGATTAAACATAGTGGTGGTGATAAAAGATGTGATATTGTGCAATCACCGATGACTGGAGAGAGATGGTGGCGGTGGTTGTGGTTGAGGAAAAGTGATAGCGGCGGCGGCTGTGATTAAGGAGAAGTGGTGATAGTATAAGGAGGGAGATGATGACGACGATTGTGGTTAAGGAGATGGTGGTGGCAGGATGTGGCTGAGGATAAGTGGTGGTGGCTGTGGCTAAGGTCGTCGAGGAGATAAAGGGTTAGAAGAGATTGGTAGAAGGGCAAAAGTGTCATTTTAAAATTCTAATATTTTACAATTAAAATTAGTTAAATATTGATTGGTAATTTTGTCTTTTCAAACCTTTTAAGGGTTTGTTTGGTTCCAAATTTTGTCAGGAAGTGTCATTGTCCAAAAAAACGTCTAACTTGTATATGAGTGTCATTATGGCAAACCTAATGGGGTGTCATTGTAATTAACCCTAAAAATAATTATAAAAAATGACATAGTTTTGTAAATTACTATTCTATACAAAAAAGAAAAAAAAAAGCAAATTCCATAAAACCCCATTATTTCAAGGGTAATTTACACTCACACCCCCTCAGGTTTAGGTTAAAGACAAGTAGATACAACTTAGGGCAAAGTGTGGTTCAATCGCTCCCATGTTTAGTAATTGAATAAAGAGACCCAATCATGATAAAAG